AATGACCTCGTAATACTTTCATGCACTATCATCACCATTGTCATATTCCCAGTTTACCACCCACGAGTGTACGCAGTGCACTATAAAATTCTTCATTAAGAGTGCTATATCTCAATGAACCAATTCCAAAAAAACGTAACGTAGCCATTCCCTTCGTTTATCGGAACTTACTCAGTTCGTTATAACAAAGAAATCCCTATCAGATCGAATCTACAAACTTACCTGTGTAACATCCATTCATTATCCAGTCACACATGGCTGTCCTTCTAAACGGTAATGTAATAGCTGTGTGTAATTTGCTTGCAATACCTTTCACAATGGACTTTTATGCGGATCAGTCAAAGTCTCAGCTTAGAATCACACATCACTCCATTGCATCATTCGTTCTAACTGTCTGTAAATGATAATGGTAATAATTTCCAAGGGACCATGATTGAATTTCAAGTTTGTAGGGTTTTCAATGCAGATTTTTTGACATAAAAATGTTCGAAGTGTCTCTGCGGGAGATCTGTGATAAGAATTGATCACACTGCATCAAATTGAAGCATTCGAGATTCATGCAAGAAATCTGTAAAATTGAATTCGCATTCAACCTACTGGCTATAATTTGTTCGCATTCGACTGATCGCAATAGTATCTTTTGGCTGAGTCTTAAATGATAAGCCACCCCGCTGAGTGGGCGAGTTAGCAAACTGAGGAATGTTCACCATTAATGAGAAACCACAACTGCTATACGTTTGCGTTTGGAAAAAGCAGTTGTCGATTTTTGAGATGATTATTTTTGCTTTCTTTGACAATAATAATTACACTAACAATAGTAATAATAATAATATTCACTGCTATTATCAATGGTGTTTTGCTGTTACGATTTAGTACTATGATTGTGATAAAATTAGTTCAAAAATTATTATCACTATTCGCGTATCTCATTTATTTTATTTTATGATAACCACCACTCTGATCATATATTGATTTCTGCGATTCAGTCATTGAGCAGCTTTTAACTCACTATATTGTTTCTGTGGCAGTCATTGAATTTCCTCTTAGCCAACTTCGTTTATTCGGCATTCGATATTCAATGCATTGGCTCAGTATTACTTACAGTTCAGTTTACAATATTTACCGTACTTATAATCGGCTTCAGATCACTTCTGTAAGTTATCAATTCACTTTGATATGCTTATAGAAGGCGTAATCTGATTGGTGCATTGATAGCGATTGATTGATTCTTTTACTTTTGTTTGTTCGTTTTGACTGGAGATAAACCATAGGATAAATATGCTGAAGTCATACCTTGATCACTGTTATCTTCTGATCTGATCGGGTTTTGACGCAACAATCGTTCGCGTCGATCATACTCTGCTATCTCATCGTTTCTTTATTCTGATCCGAATAAAAACAACAGACCCACAATCTTGCGGGTCTGTCCATCTTCGTTCGGATGCAGTGCAAATTACTTTCGCTCTTGCGTTCTGCATTCGACAATCTGCATGACAAGTCAGTCTAAGTTGATTCATTACACAGCTAAGCATCATCAACTCACGATCCCCTAATAATGCATTCAATCAGTGCCCAATCAACTCGTCCACCATACACTATAAACATTTCTATCAACATTTCAATGCTGCCTAATGACTCATCTTCCAATAATTCAGCGCACCCAATTATAGTCAACCAACTAAAGTCCTCTAATGATCGTCTCTTTCATGAACTCGTCTTCTGATCTCTGGTACCAACGGTCATTATCGTTGATCACACTGAGGTGTTCGATCGAAAAATAACCGATACTGGACTGATTTCAACGAGAACCGCATCTCTAATTCCATGTATACAACAATCCAGATTGCTGTCCCAAATATACCACAATGCAATCCAGTGACTTTAATCGCTATCTATTCATTAAAGTTGAGAGTCGTTTCACAGTTGCTAGGCAGCTCTCGCTTATTCATCCCAGAATAAACACAATTTTTCTTGTTTCAGCCTCATTAAACAGTGTAATTATCAATACAACAGCTGTCAGATTTGATAAATTCAATAAACATATAACAGCTGGTTCACTATTGCACGATTTTCTTGTTATTATAATAATGTCGCAGACCTATGATAGGAAACACAAATGCAATTTGTGTTTCCTATCATAGGTTAATTCTTAATTGTTCTCATTCAAAATTATGTCAAAAGAAATATTGACAGTTGATATTAGTTTTAAAGGAATAAATGATTCATTAATCTTCAAAGCTTCACAGTCGTGATATAAATCAAATTAAGTATCACCTCTACTCTTATCATTTCAACTATCAACTATTATCGCATATAGAAATCAGCTAACATATTGAATTATGAATTGATTTTGAAAAGTTCAATATAAGAGCATATAAAAAACTGCTTTAGACCGCTGCTTCAAGCATTCCAGTGAATTTCACAATTTTGCAGATGATTTCGCAATGAGCGCTGTGCACCTATCGTGAATAACCTGACAAATGATGTAGGAGTATACCAATATCTTCGCATAATAAGTACCGAAAATCGCACTCACTAAAATAAGTAGCAAATTGTGTGATTCAGTGGAACTGTCACAGATGCAGGAGAATGAGTAGCCTCATAATGAATCTTGAGAAAAATATCTGTTTTCATAGTTTGCTTCAGATCGCTTCAGCGATTCAGGAAAAGTTGCTTTACTTGTGTCGGAGCTCATACCTCTCGAGTGAGCTGTAACTACAGTCGGCTATGAGGAAGAGCATTGACTCGCTATTTAAAACAGTCATGATCATTACGAATATGTAAAGTAGCCGTTCGATAAATACTTCAATAGTAACGCATATTTCTAAGTATTAATACCAATTTGGTCTAATCGAGTTAAGGGATGGATCATATGTTGAAATAAAAACAATATCTTATGAACTAATGATATCGCTAAGGAATGTCCCGTTGTCATGTAACTGCTTTCTTTAATTTATATCCAACGTTTCTACTTACTCCTAAAAGAATGTAATGCTCTTGATTAATAATTGCAGTATTTTTGTGCATATATAATTCAATTTGATGTAATCGTGAAAGGATAGTTAAGAATGATATATCAGAGTGTCATCTGTTAAGATACAGCCGCATAGCATAATGCTATCGTAATATGTGTTTTAAGTTGATTAGATTTTCGTTGTTACGAATACATTCAAGAGTAGATCATTTGGTTGAATTCTGAAATAGCATTATAAATTTATTCGATTACAACTGCAAAGCCAAAACCTTTCCCATTCATTGTCTTAATATCATTTAGTATTCCTTCTTTGTGGTTTAGTAACCTTATGCATAAGTGCCTAAGCACTTGACATGAACATCGTATTAATATCAACGAATAATTCTTATACTTTCATTATTGTTCACTTATTCCATTCTTATTGCTTCCTTCCTAAATTGCGTCACTCACTGATATCACCCCGAAAGATTTATTTGTTTACTGATTTACAATAAATTCTACGTTCGTCCATCATTCGAACAACTCAAATCAATCATTCAATGAGCATAACTTTTAAAGCGTAAATTTTTGAATTAAGCTCAGTTTATTGCACACTGATACAGCTAATGCGGTAATACTCCAATGCGCTGCATCTGCTAAAAATAATGCTCTTCGGGTTACGTGCGTGAACGAGCAGTAAGTGATCGCATGTTTATACTACTTTAGGGTTGATTCACATCTTTATCGAATTATATATGGTGACATATCATCTGCAATCTAATAAATCTCATTATAGATGCTTGATTGCATCCAACATTCCCAATGCCAAACAATATTTTCTACTATTGTCACTAGCTGTTGCCAGCGTT